CTATACAGTAGAGAGCTGGATAATGACTAAGGATGGCAGAAGAGTTGATGCTTTTGAGTTGTGGTGCTGAAGGAAAAAACTGAATATACCATGGACTGCTAGGAGAAGAAACAAATTCTTCCTTGAGAGGGTGAAATCAGGCTGCTCCTTGGAAGCAAGAATTCTGAAGCTCTGTCTGACATACTTTGGGTATTTGTAAGGCAGGATCTGTCCTTGGGGAGGGATGTCATGCTTGGAAGCGTGGAAGGCAGTGCAGGAGAGGAAGACTCTTGATGAGATGGATTGATTCAGTTACTGGGGTAATGAGGGTAGGTGTATCAGGGACAATAAGATTGCCAAGGGATAGAGCAGGGTTTAGGGTTATTTTGCATAGAGTCACTATGAGTCACAGGCTACTTGATGACACATAACAACAATAACAACAACAACCACCCCCACCCATTCTCTAATTTTTGCAATCATAGTTGTTATTAACGCATCGTAACTACACATTGGATATATTTCAGATTCCAAAATAGGAACCCTCAATTTCTTAATTTTTGTCTTTAGTAATTAATGTAACAGTTCTATTATGGGTAATACTCTATGAATGACAGCACTGTACTTCAGCACTTTATTTCCTAACAAAAAACAAGAGGATTTGAAGCACTTACTGCAGATGTTCAAGGACTATAGCATTCAATATGTAGTATATAAAGAAATAAAAAAAATCCTCACCACTGGTCCATCATGAGAGATGGAGAAGAGACTGAAGTTTTCAACTATACTGTTTTACTTGGATACACAAACACCACCCATGGTAGAAGCAGTCAAGAAATCAAATGACATGTGGCATTGGGAAAAATCTGCTTATAAAGGACCTCTCCAATACACTAAAGAGCAACAGTGTCAGTTTAAAAACTATAGTGCTACTGATCCTTTTCAATTGCTTCCTACGCATCTGAAAGTTGGACAATGAATAAGGACAGCAGAAGAGGAAGTGAGTTTTGATGGTTGAGAAGAGTACTGAACATCCCACAAATGGCCAAAAGAACAAATAAGTTTGTCTTGGGGGGAGTGCGACCAGACTACTCCTTAAAGGCAAAAGATGGTGAAATATCACTGGATTCCAAGATGGTGGCAGTGGCAGAAACAATGTGGCGAGCTGCGGGAGCAGTGGACAACATGGAGGAGGGCCACCATGGCCTTCTACAGATCTGTTTATTGATAATTGAACAGTTAAACAGTTGATGACTGGTCTTCGGTGCAGATCGAGGCTCAACATCAGGAGATCAAGGATTCCCAGGGAGGAATGGGTGAGTCCTGTGGCTCCCAGCTCCCTGCTGCTGAGCACGTGCTGCCACTGCGGCTCCATGAGTCTCCCACTGCCAGACCCCAGGGATCCCCTCACCTGGGATGGAACAGTTGGCACTGGAGTCTACCCCCTACCTCCAGGCTGGTGCAGGGGAGCCACCACACCACAGCAGAGTGGACTGGTTCTGGGGAGAATTCTTGGCAGCAGCAGGTTGGGGTTTCCCTGGGCAAGCCAGAGAGGAAGATTGCCAATACAATGGATTGATGAGTCTCTGTGAGCTGTTTACGACTCCATGACATTTAACTGTGGCAGCATGTCCAAGATGGCAGATATCCTCAATGCACCACATCTTTTGATCTGCCTTTGCCAAGAACTGTTTAGACCTGGGGTGTGTGTGCGTGTGTGTCTGTTCACTACTCTCAGGTTCCCTTCTCCATTTATAAAGGGAGAGGGCAGTGACACCTACTTCAAATTACAGCATGACCACTTATTGGGGGTGTGTGTGTAATGGTGGCAGTACTGGAATTGGGGACACTGTCCCTGGCCACATGGTCTTTAGTGAGGCTTGGGGTCCAGACTTGGGAGGGGATTTGGTGGGGGAGTGTGTCAGCCAGCCCCAGGGGTGTGTCACTTGGTCCATGAGGGTTGCCATCTGGCCCCTGGGGTGGGCGGCTCGTTCGGCCTCTGGCGGCAGGGTGACCCATGTGTTTGGCCCCCGGAGGGGCGAGCCGGCCCTCAGGATGAGTTCCTCAGCCCTCAGATTGTACCATCCAACCCCTGAGTAGAAAAAACTGCCTAGGAGAATTTTATTGAGGCTACTTTCCTCCACCTTCTTCCCCAGTACACCTGTAAGTAACACCCCCAAAGCCCTAATTGTAACTCACAAGTATGTTCTCTCTAGATTTGCTCCGTTTTCTATAGGTAACCTTAACACTGAGTTTTACTCCAGACCTGATCCTGAACCCAGTTCCAGAGACAAAAAGGAAATACAATGGCCAGTTAAGGAAGCAAAGGAGGATAGAGCCTCAGGATTCAGTCAGCCATCCTCACCGGACCCACCTGGGAAAACACGTTGCAGTCAAGAGGGGAGTAAATGTCAGAAAAACATCTTCTAACAGAACAAGAAGGCAAGCAGCTTCAACCCAAGATCACCAGTAATGCGATAAAGTGTGGTCCCTTTCCCCCTTCACATCAATGCCCCGTTCAGGATGAAGAAGCCAGAGAGTCTGCGCCCAATTCCCAAATGAGAAACCCACAAGAGAAAAAGACAGTTTGTTTAATCACCATTGGAATATGCTTACCATTGCCCTGAATCATCTGATCCCCACTGGATCCTTTTTATTTCCTTCACCTGCTTCCCCCACCAACCAAATTGTGCAGCCTTGCAACTGCACCCCTGCAATTTTCATCCCTGCCCATCCTCACCCTTCTGCTCCCAACCCTCACCTCCATGTATCCACAACATGTTTTTCCCAATAAAATAAAAAAAAAGATGGTGAAATATCATCTCCCATACTTTTGGGCATGCTGTCAGAAGAGGCCAGTCTGTGAAGAGATATTCTGTTGGGAAGGTGGATGATCAGAAAAAGAGAGGAAGACCTAAAAAAAATGGATTCACAAAGGAACTTTAGGCTTGAGCATATCAGAGATGGTGAAGATGGCACAAAATAGGGCAACGTTCAGATCTGCTGTTCATAGGGTTTCTGTGAGTTGTAGTTGACTTGATAGTAAATAACAACAAAAATTCTACCTCTATATTCTTTATCTCACCTTTAACAGTTTGTTCTCCACATGTACAAATTAATTTTACATTTCTCACATCTAAGAACAACACACATATTTTTGTTGCATGCTGTCAAGTTGCTTGCAACTTATTTTTAAATTATTTAAAAGCTGAGGTATACAGGGGTGAAAAGAAACCTGAACTAATTTACCATTATTTTCTAGGGACAGGAGTAGAATATATACTTGGACTCAGTTTACTTCTTTTTGTTTCAGTATTTTGAACAGGGGATGTTGTAGTATGTAAGTCCATGCTGTCCTCTGTCAACTTTTTTTTTACATTTTCAGCAGGGTAAGCCTCATATCATTTCTTTGTCAGTCAGCATGATGATAACACAGATTCTACTTTTAACAAGGGTGACGCTCATAACAATTCTGTGAATTGATATGCATTGACCACATCTCAAAAAATGACACTGGGTGTCCTTTCAAGTTTCATATTCCTCACATAATTGGGATAGGAAGCACCCCATAGCCATATAGCGAAGGCAGAATCCAAGGAAGGAGCAAAATGTGTTTAAATAATAGACGCAACCAATTTTACAGCTGTCCTTTATATTCAGATGAATTAAGCACACTGTCATATAAAATTGAAAACATGTTGGGTCTGAAAATACATTGTTGGAACAAATGACACAGTGAGAAACAAAAGAAAAATCCAATTTTATAAAACATACTTTCAGGTGAAAAAGGTTACATATAAACGTACTTATGTATCTTCTAAATTATAATTCTTGGACTTACAGTTCTTAAAAGCTATCTCTAGTGAGTTTCAAAATCTGTATTTTATAGTTTAAATGTCTAAATGGAAGTCTATACACTGGAATTGGGCATGGCATCATTCTCAAACAAGATTTCTGAAATCAGAATTGTGTGCTCTTATAAACAATCTTCCTAACTTATTAGGATCAAAGAACTTCCTAAAAATTCTATTTCCTCTCATTTTAGCTAGTTCTATTAGAGCAATTCATGATTTGGACTCTCTTTTACTGTTTTCCCCCCTCTTTTTTCAAATCCCTATAAGCTTTTTTGACATCAATACTATATTTTATCAGATTTCTTCCCGAACCATCTGTTTATTGGATGTTGCTGTCAACTGTCTTACTGAAATGTTACCTAAGGCAAGAAATCATATTTTCTATTTCAGTTTCTCTTAAGCATCAATGACAATTTCATTCATAGCAGTTGCCAAGTTTGTGTATTTTCATTCTGGATTCCTAACTACACAGTGTGATTGAGGGTAATTCAGAAGTGTTTTAGAACCACCTGCTGCCAAGATTCTGCAAAACGTCTTTTTCAACTGAATGCTAATGCTCTAAGGACTCTAATATATCTGTACTTACAGGTTTTGTGGAGTTTTATAGAATGAGAGTAAAATGGTCAGGTTCATCATAACTAACATATACCTGTGAGTCAATCAATAGATATTGAGAACCTATTATGTTTAAAATCTTAGTAAGTCGTGTGTACTTTCATTTATAAATATAACATACAAAAACTCAGAAATAGCAGCTTTATGAATATGCAAATGTTATGGTCCTTTTAGGATAAATCCTACAAAATATTCCAGACCATGAATTTCTACATTTCAGTGATGAGAGAAAATGTTTCCTGAGAGTTCTTTAAAATCAGATATATTTTAATAAATGTTTAATTCTCAAATATCTCTTTAAGCTGACATGTTGTATGACGGTATTAAGTAAGACAAACATTTGTTTGCTTCTTCATAAAATAACAAATCTTATTATCACGCTTAAGACTTTGAAAACTCTTATTCTGACCCTGATATAAAACAATAACTTGATTTCTTTTTTACTAATTTAATAATAACCAGCTTCAATAAGTAGTACATACACACAAACACCATAGGATGATTTTAAAAAGTCTCTAATGGAGGTGTATGTGGTGATGGTTTTTGTTTAAAATGGATATGAGAGTGTGTCATGGTTCCTTTCTTCATTGTTTATAAGATGGAACATATGTTATTTTTGCTGAGTTTTCCCTTTCTCCATTTGCAGTATTTCTAGCAAAAAAATGTTGGTTTTTTTTGCATGGCACCTCCAGATTATAAATGTAAGCAAATAAAAGTCTGAGACCAGCTGAGTTACTTTGCTACTTCTGCTATGTTGATCAGGTGAAAGAAATCTGGGATTTGTATTAGGAGCCCTTATAAATGGTTTAATAGCTTTGCAGCTACCATTAGCTGTCAGCTTCTCCATGGATATTGTCCATATGCACTTTGAGGTAGTCATTCCTTGTAAACTTCTTATGGCAAAATTGGCATTCAGCCAGTGGACGATTGGGATTATGCGTCATCTTGTGCCGGATCAGCATTTTCTTCAGGCTAAAGGCCAAATCACACACCTAGAAAAGACCCAAGGTATTATCTAGATCATACTGAAAAATAGTAATGTATACAATTTTATAATTTCTAAAACACACATTATACAATACACAAATTCCTACTATCAGGAATGTACTAATAAGTAAAAATATCTCTCTTGAAACATATAGGATTTTATATACAAAGGTATGATTAAATAAAACTGATTATAGTTTGGAAGAATCACTTAAACTTAACTTGTGTTACTGGCACCCCAATTACTTCCTCTTGCCTCCTCGTTACTGAATTTAAATATCTTTAGAGAAACTGGTTCCTCAAAACAATTATTTTTTTTCTTCATAATTGAGTGTTCTCCAATTTATGACTGCAACTCTTGCAAATGGTGCAAGTAATTTCTTTTGAGTGATCCTTGGACTTAGTGTCTCTTGTGAAGTAAAAATTAATGGGGCTGTAAACATTGTAAGTGGAAGTTTATTACCCACTGTTACACTGCTGTTAATTGTGGTGTGCTGTCAAGTCAGAACGGACCATAGTTGACCCTCCTGCATGTTATCCGGAGGCAGTAACTTGCACAGGAGGAGATATCTATCCTTCTCCCATGGAAAAGTTGATGGATTAAACTACATGCCTTGGGGATTACAGTGCAACTTCTTGTGGTACTGGAAAAGAGTATTGAATATACCGTGGACTGCTAGAACAAACAGATTTGTCCTGGAGAGAATGAAACCAGGCTGTTTCTTGGAGACAAGGATTTTGAAGCACCGTCTAATATACTTCGAGCATGATACAAGGAGAATCAGTCCTTGGAGAGGGATACCATGCTTGGAAGGGTAGAGGGACAGTACAAGAGTGGAAGACTCCAGATGAGATAGATTCACTCAGTGACTAGGCTAAGGTGGTGGTAGGTGTGTCACAAACAATGAGGTTGACTTAAGATAGAGCAGGGTTCAGAGGTGTTGTATATAGTGTCATTATGAGTCGTCTACTAGATGGCACACAACAACAATAACAGCAGCAGCAGCAGCAGCAGCAGCACTACTAAATAATTAAGAGACAGTTTATGAGGAAACTAAGCATTACAATCGACTACTCTTCAATGAAATATGGTTTGAATTCTCAGTTTAAAAGTTAAATTTTCCTACTATATAAGTATGTCCAAAGTGAGAGACATGAAGTTTCACCATCCTTGCCTCTAAGGAACACTGGTTGAACTTTATCCAAGACAAATTTGTTTGTTCTCTTGAGAGTCTTTGGAATATTCAGTGTTCTTCATCAACATAACAATTCAAAGGCATTGATTTTTTTCCTTTGGTCATCCTTATACATTGTCCAGTTTTCAGACACCTAAGAAGCAATTTGAAGATAGCATCATGTGGATCAGACAAACCAGTTTTTAACATCCTGTTCTTTACCACTTTGGATTGGTACTTGACAGATTTCCCCAATGCAACACGTCTATTGACACGTCTACTAAAAGTGTGGATCCTAGTAAAGTGAAATAATTAACAACTTGAATCTAGTAGTGAACAGGAAGGAAAAACCTTAGCTGGATACTACTAAGCTTGCTCTGATCATGAGGGAGCTCTGGAGGTCCAGTGATAAAGTGTTGTGCTCTCTAAGAGAGGTGGTTTGGGTTCACTAGTGGCTCTGATGGAGAAAGATGACAATCTTTTCCTGTCAGATTTACCTGCCTCTGAAAGCCCTTGTTGTTGTTATGTGCTGTTGAGTCACCTGCAACTCATAGCGACCCAATGTATAACAGCCCTAAACTGTGCTCTATCTTAATTGTCTGTGACACACCCATCCCTATTACCCCAGTGACTGAATCAATCCATCTCATCGAGGATCTTCTTCTCCTGTGCTGTCCCTCCACCCTCCCAAGCATGATGTCCAAGAACTGATCCCACCTTGCAACATGTCCAAAGTATGTCAGATGGAGCTTCAGAATCCCTGCCTCCAAGGAGCAGCCTGACTTCACCCTCTCCAGGATGGACCTATTTGTTCTCCTATCAGTCCATGGTACATTCAATACTCTTCTCCAGCAACACAGCTCAAAGGCATCAACTCCCCTTCTATCATCCCTAGTCTTTGTCCAGCTCTCTGATGCATAGCAGCCAAATTAATTCTAAGCAACAAATATTACTAAAGACTATGTACTTCTGTGAAAAACCTATACTTGCAGTCATCAGAACAGAGCAAGGAAACACTGCATGGTTCAAAATTGGGAAGGGTGTATGCCAGGGATGAATCTTATCTCCGTATCTTTTCAACCTGTATGCAGAACAGATTATCCGGAAGGCTGGGCTCTATGAGGAGAAGTGTGGCGTCAGTATTGGTGGAAGATCTATCAATAATCTGCATCATGTAGATGACACACCCTGCTTGCTGAAACTGAGGAGGACCTGAAGCGCTTGCTCCAGAGGATCAAGGACTGCAGCCTCCAATATGGATTGAGCCTCAATATAAAGAAGACAAAGATTCTCACCACTTGACCAACTTGCAGCATCAGGATGGATGGTAAAGAGATTGAGATTGTTCACAGTTTTAGTTTGCTTGGCTCCACAGGCAACACTGACCTCTCCAAAGTACTGAAGAGCAGTGATGTCACTCTGGAGACTAAGGTGTGTCTGATACAGGCCATGGTCTTTGCAATCACTTGTTATGAGTCAGAGAGCTTGACAATGACTAGGGACAAAAGAAGGAGAACTGATGCCTTTGAGTTGTGGTGCTGGAGAAGAGTATTGAGTGTACCATGGACTGCTAAGAAAACAAACAGATTCATCATGGAGAGGGTTAAACCAGGCTGCTCCTCGGAGGCAAGGACTCTCAGACTTCATCTGACATACTTTGGACATGCTGTAAGGAGAGACAGGTCCTTGGAGAGGACATCCTTGGGTGTAGGGACATCCTTGGGTGTAGGGAGGTGAAGACCCTCTATGAGATGGATTGATTCCGTGACTGCGGTAATTGAGGAGTGTGCCGGTGACAGTGCAATTGGCACAGGATAGAGCAGGGTTTAGGGCTGTTGTACATAGGGTCGCTATGAGTTTCAAGTGACTCGACAGCACATAACAACAACGACAACTAACAACAACAACAACAAACAATCCACTTCTGTAGCGCCTATATTTTTTACAATTATCATTATATTAATGTTCATTGTGTAAAATAACTCATTTAATAAAGTAGTACTTTGATTTTATAAAACTAAAAAAAAAAAAACCAACAAAAAAAACACCCAAAAATAAAGACTATGCCCTGACCACTTTTTTCAATAGTGTAGCTGAAAAAAAAAATAGCATTAGAAAAACTTTCTTTTCAAAGAAAAAGGAGGCTCTCAGGCAGTTCAGCTCACCAGAGTGGTGTATGGGGATACAAAGTGCAAGCCCATTTGCACAGTCACCACAGGAAAATAACAGCAATGGAAAGCTGCAGAAGATGGAAAGAAAGTTGAGTGAGATGTTGAAATCACTGACAATGGCTCTGGAGGAAGTCCTAGGGGCCCCACATAGGAAATAAGATTGGAACAAGCCAGTGGATTGTTGAATGGGTGCGGGCAAAGAGGATTAAATGTCAGTAGAGAGATGTGTGAAATCAACAGCCCAGAAAGACGTTCATGACTGCTTTGCATTCAGCCACTAAGAAACTCCACATCATGCTCTGTATCAAATCATCTAACTGGAGGAATATTTATAGCTCTATTAAAACAGGGAAGAGCATGCAATAGGGCAAGACAGCTACTTCCTTTTCCTTCAAACACTGCAAAATATGATGCTATTGTTGTTATTAGGTGCCGTCAAGTACAGTACAATTCACAGTGACTAGAGTCATGGTTGCTGTGATGCTGAAACTGTGACTCTGATGTGTCAAGTGCATTAATGGCTACCCATGGCAGACAATGTTTGGAGGAGATCCCTGTTTAAAACAAGCTTGGAAGCAGGAGTGGTATCCACTTTCAAAATGGCTCGCCTCGAGAAACTCTATGAACTTGGATAAATGACCACAGTTATACAAGTGTTTAGGTCTTTAGTTCATATGGTCTCTATGAGTCATCTACAACTCAACAACATTTAACAACAGCACCAACACAAACAGAGCTCTGTGGGCCTGGTGGATAGAAAGTTATGCTACCAATTCAAAGGTGGGTGGATTTTAATCTGTGGCCCTGAGCCCTGGTTGTAATTGGTTTTGGTCAAACATTCTTCTAAGTGGTATAGCACTGGTCTGTCCATTTGCTGTACAGAGGTAACTCATGGTTTCTGTGAGGCTGAACACTGTGACACTGATGCATCAAATGTGATAATGGTTACCCATGGTGGACAGTGTTTGAGGTAGCTCCCCAAGTAAAACAAGCTTTGAAGCAGGAGCGGCATCCACATCCCAAACAGACTGTCTCCGGAAACTCTATGAACTTGGAGAAACAATGAAAGTTATCCAAGTGTTCAGGTCTTTCATTCACAGGGTCACTATGAGTTGTCTACAACTCGATGGCACTTAACAAGAACACCACCAAGAACTATAGACAACAGATATTAACCCTGTCCTATTCTGTGCCATGTTAAAATCTCAACAAACTTGAGCTCATTGCTCTGTGTCAATCCACCTGGTTGAAGGTCTTCCTCTTTTGTATTCCCTCCACCTTCCCAAGCATGATGTTCTTTCTTCTCCAAGCAATAGCCTCCCCTAGCAGCTTGCTCAAAATATGTGACATGAAGCTTTATGTAACACTTTTGCTCCAAGGAACACTCTGGCTGCACCTTCTCCAAAACAAGTCTTTTTGTTCACTTGGAGGTCCATGGGATGGATATTCTGTACTCTTCTCCAGTACAATTTAAAGGCATCAATTCTTCCTCTGCCATCTTATTCACTGCTCAGCTCTCAGCAGTTAAGCAAGTGAATGAAAATATCAAGCAAGGCCTAAATCAGGTACACCTTAGTCCTCAAACTAACATCACTGCTATTCAATAATTTAGAGAGATTCCTAACTGTAGACTTCCCCAGTAAAATACATCTCCTGATC